CACCCAAGTTTTTGCATGTGTCGATGGTTTATTACTTTTCATTGCTGAGAACAATCCACAGTATAGATGTACCACAGTTTGTTTAATTTGCCAGCTGAAACACATCTGTGTTCGTTCCAGCTTGGGGCTCTTACAAATAAAGCATTTTTTACAAAAGTATCCTCTATTTGTTACAAATAAAGCCACTAGGAATATTGGTGTACTCCTCTTTCCTTTCTGATCACAAATTGATAGATGCTCCTACCTGACTGAAGCCCTTGCTCCTGCTGCGGCAGGCATAACTTGTCACCACACTATCCTTTCTATACCAACTCCTAGTGACTGTAAATACTCTGTCCAGATGCTCCCTGCAGACATTCATCTCTAAGTAGGCACCTCTCATTCCTTTCCCCTTAAAGAAACACAACAGAACAAGAATGAGTTAGGGAACCGACAACCTAGACTCATACTGCAAGGGTTCTGCCAGGTATAGTTGTAAAATCTTGAGCAAGTCACTTAGCCTTCTGAATCTTTCATACTCATCATAATAAAGTAATTAATCATTGTTGAGGTTTCTTTACCAACAGCGTATAGTGACAGTGCAATGAAATGGTGAAATGCAGAAACTCTGCTACCAAGCTGCCTGAATTAAATCCTGGCTCTACCATTTGTCAGCTCTGTGACCCCAGGTAATTCACTTAACCTCTCTGTGCCTCAATGTTTCCATTTATAAATGGGCATGTCAACAGTACCTGTCCCATGGGGTTGTTGTGAGAACTGAATTAGTACATATAACTAATACATGTAATGCACGTTCAGAACAATGCCTGGCAAAGTGCTTGAGTTGATGAGCATAAGCTCATCTTGTTATGTGGCAGGCACTGTTCTAAGCACTTTATGTAGACCATTTTGTTTAATCATATCAATAACTGTAACGCAAGAGTTGTTACGAGACTGATTATACAAATAACAAAATTGAATTAAGGGAGTAAGTCACTTGCTCATAGTCATAGGCCTGGAAGATGAGGGAGCTGAGATTCCTTTTTAAGCCTGTCTTTGTTCCTAACTTCTACACCCTCCTTGCAGCCCATAAACTGGGGGTGTCATTGCCTGGGCTTACAGAGCAGTTTTGAGGATTACAGAGAAAAATGTGTCCCATGGTGCTTGGTATTCAAACTGCTCCACACATTAGTTTGCCCTTTTAACTACCAGTGGCCAATGTACAGTAGATGATTCTGTAGTTCCATACACAGCAGAAATTGACCCCTTAAGACATAACTCACTAAAACAAAGGTAGCAATTTGAAGGTATTAACAGATGCATCTGCAAATATTTGCAATGCTTACCTAACTCAACAATCACAACCAGATTTGGGACAAGTTCATCCAACTCAGCCCACAATTCATTACAACAAAGCAGCTGTCTCACTTCTTTTTGTTGCAGGACAAGCAAGACCCAAAACTGCCCAGGAATATTTTTGGCTTTGCCCAGGAAAGATGACTCTTAAAGAAGCCCTTGGCCCTGCAGCTTTGATCACTGTTTGAGTTTGCCTCTCCACCAAACTCTATTGCCACTGTCTCCACTGTCTTGTTTCTTCGTTGGTCACTGCCTCTTGATTGCTCTATTCATCCCTTTGTGGTTGCCAGATGTTGCAAGACAAGCAAGCCCCAAAATTAGGGCTTAGCCCAGGAGGGATTTTGGCTTCACCCAGGAAAGAATTCAAGGGTGAGCCAGTGGTGTTAGACAGCGATCTTTTATTGAATGGTTCTGCTCCTTTCAGGGCAGAGTTCATAGGCAGTGCACCCAGCTTCCCTCTAAAACCACTTGTAGAAAGGTACACCTCAAACTTTAACTAGACTTACCCTCCACAGAGGTCTGCTCCTATCCTAGCTGAGCAACTAGATTTTTAATAATTTTGGAACTCACTTACTACATGGTTAACGTACCTCTTCTATAGAGTACATTCCCTGTGAGATTTGTTCTCATTATTCTGCCCCTCTTTAAGCACTGTGAAGCTAAAACATTCTCTTTCCATGGCAATAACCTATGTGATTTGTAAAATCATACTTTATCTATTTCCACTATACACAACAGCTTTAGAACTAGCTGGAGAGCACAGAATGGCTAATGTATACAGAAAGAGACAAATGTGGTACTGACGAGTAGAAACAGATGATGGTTTCACTCAATTTGCAGTTTCTGTAACTGCTCTTATAAGGGTAGGCCAGTCAGATTCTCAAATGTCTGGAAAGTTCAACATTGACTTGTGAGGGTGAAACGATGGCTATAATCTACCTTCCTTTACTTTTAGCTCAAAGGACAAATGAGTTAAGAGAATAGTGAGGGTTTTTTTTAATTGACTTTAGGACTCGATTGGGTAAATGATAATTAAACATGAAGGGCCTTTCAGATTTGGCTAGACGACAAATAGCAGGGAAGGATGGGCCTCAAGTTAGGTAGGGAGGAACGAATGAACCAGTGCTTGAGGAACATCAAGGATACAGTCAGAAAGTCAAACCAGTGGACAAGTTTTCAAAATTCTCCTCATATAGTTGCCAGAGGTCTTTATGACATGTTAACTAAGAGGCTTATTATTTTTAGAATTTCCTCATTTCTCAAATATCTTTTAAGTCTTTTATGAAAAGAGACATCATGTTGTTTAAAAGGTAATAAAAGATCTTAGTCTCTGACATCTGTGAAATATCGCACTTGTTGAGTGCCCACTGTGGGTACAATTTTATTCTGGGTTTTTCTAACCTGAAGAATTCCAGTTTAAAATTCAGAACACTTCTAGAAATAATAATAAAAAAAAAATGGCTATTTCTCAGGTGGAGACATCAATAGCAGCTACCTATAAAATAGCTCTCCCACAAAAAGTTCTTTCATTAACAACAAGTACAAAAGATAGCATCTTCTTTCGGCATTAGGAAACCATGAGATCTTGTTATTTGATAATAGGATTGAAAAATTCATATTTGTACACCTAGCACTGATTTCAGATTCGTAGTAATGCCATCTATACAAATTACAATTTCACATTTCAGAGGCCTGTCAACCTGGATATCTATGCTTTAAAAAAAAAAAACTATCAAAAGCAAGTAAGGAAAATATAGCTTGTCTTTAATACATTTCTAAGATATTATGTAAAGGAAAATAAAAATTGTTTCATAGAGGTTTCTACTTATTTTAGATCAAATTAATAAAGTTTCTCCTAATCACAGCCTTTAAGAAACTCAATAGTAGGAAAATAAGCATTTACCCTAGTAACACCTGAATATTTTACCTATTAAGGTGTTAAGTGAATTGGAAAGACATATATTAATTAGTAGTAAATCTTAGACACTAAAAATTTAAAAGGAAAATACTGCCAAAAGTGTAGCTGTTACCCAAAACTACAACACTGTAGCTACCCCAAATAAAATAATGAAGCACATACCATCCAAAAACCATCACCATAATCCAGTAGATTCTTGACTCTTAACAAAATTTTGCTATGCAGTATCAGCTTGAATCAGTCCGTTATATTGCTTTTCTCTGGGCCCACTAGAAATGCAATTTATGGTACTAGGCCACCTTCCCAGTGCCCTGCAAATGATGGCACAGCATCCAACCAGGTGAGATGAGGTGAGGTCAGACTCCACCTTCTTTTTTTTTTTTTTTTTTTTTTTTTTACTAATTTTTTTTTTTTTTCTTTTTTTTTTTTTTTTTTTTTTTTTGTTTTTTTTTTTTTTTTTTTTAGACACAGTCTTGCTTTGTCGCCCAGACTGGAGTACGATTGAACAATCTCGGCCCACTGCAATCTCCTCCTCCCGAGTTCAAGCGATTCTCCTGCCTCAGCCTCCCAAGTAGCTGGGACTACAGGCACCCACCACCATGCCAGCTAATTTTTGTATTTTTTTTCTTTTGAGATGATGTCTCCCTCTGTCGCCAGGCTGAAGTGTAGTGGCAGGATCTCTGCTCACTGCAACCTCTGCCTCCCAGGTTCAAGCCATTCTACTGCCTCAGCCTCCCAAGCAGCTGGGATTACAGGCCCCCGCCACCACAACCAGCTAATTTTTTGTATTGTTATTAGAGATGGGGTTTCACCATGTTAGCCAGGCGGGTCTCCAACTCCTGACCCCATGATTCTGCCACCTCGGCCTCCCAAAGTGCTGTGATTACAAGTGTGAACCACTGCACCTGGCCAGGCCCCACCATTCTTATGGTAACCCTTATCTACCTTGCAACTTGGATCCTTCCTGAGTAGGGTGTGCCTTACTCATTTCCAAATTCTCCTCCTCTCCTCCTCCCACCTCTGTCCAACCTTTGTCTTCCCTCTAAGAAGGTGCTGTTCGTAAGGGTCTGCAATGAATTTTCCTTCTTCCAGAGAAAAAGACTTCCAAGTTGTGTGCCCCAGGAATGAAATGGGACGAGAAGAGAATGAGGTGGAGTAGGGCAAGAGTCCTTGGACTTAACTACCTGACTGCAACCAGAAATAAAAAGAAAAGTAAAAACATCTGACCTGCAGCTTCCTTCCGGGAGTTGGACTGAGCCCCAGGTCCCTGATGGAGATTCCCGAGTTTCTAGACTTCCACCACTGGTTCTTGGAATGTTTCTTTGTTTTTGTTCTTTTTGAGATGGAGTTTTGCTCTTGTTGCCCAGGCTGGAGTTCAATGGCTCGATCTCAGCTCACTGCAACCTCCACCTCCCAGGTTCAAGCGATTTTTCTGCTTCAGCCTCCCAAGTAGCTGGGATTACAGGCATGCACCACCACACCTGGCTAATCTCGTATTTTGAGTAGAGATGGGGTTTCTCCATGTTGGTCAGGCTGGTCTCCAACTCCCGACCTCAGGTGATCTGCCAGCCTCAGCCTCCCAAAGTGCTGGGATTACAGGCGTGAGCCACCACCTCCGAACAGTCCTTGGAATTTAATCATAGTTACAGTCAACAAATTCTTCTTGAGGGACAAGTACACTCCAGGAAACGGCTTTGAGGAAGCCAGTTTTAAAAAACAAAACTTAAAAGCATTAAAGTCTCTATAATAAAATAATACAATTTCTATTATTTTATTAAATATAAAGCTGCATCAAGTTCCTAGAAGAGTAAAAGAAAATAAACACACCACACCACTGCTTGCTTTGGCAATTACCTTTATGGTCTTGGGAGCCCAGACACCAATATTTATTTCCAGCACAAACTAAAGCACACTCACCACATGCATAAATTCAAACGATACGTCTTCCCTAATTGCTCAGGGAACTATTGCTGCTTGAAGAATGCATGAATTTCTAGATTATTCACCAGAAAAACAGAAGTTAATCCCCCAGATGGAAATTTCAGATTTTTCTTTTGGTTTGGTTGTTTCTCCATTTTTGCAGAGACGGGGGGCACTTGCAGTCAGGCTGGTCTTGAACTCCTGACCTCAAGCGATCCCCCTGTCTCAGCCTCCCAAAGCCCTGGGATTACAGGCCTGAGTAGCCTCACCCAACCCCCAGATTTTTCTACTTTACACTAAACAGCCAAACGAAGAACTGGAAACCTGTGGATGGTGTTCTTACGCCTGTTTCTGTGTGACAGTTTAACAGTCTATAAGATGAAGTCACATGAAGGCACACATGGGCACACCCATCCCTGCCTCAATGAATCCCTTCTGATCCTTCCCATAGTCTGTCTTTCCTCATCCTTCTATCCTCACCTATCTCTTTTTCCTGGTAACTTTCTCTTCACAAATCACGATATAGAGGACTTTTTCATTTTCCATAGGCCCTGAATTTACTTTTGTCATCTCTTTTTGGTTAGAGAGAGAGAGAGAGAAAGAGAAAGGGAGAGAAAAACTCCCCACTTGTCCTGCTCCATCTCCCAGATCAGCTCAGGTCTCCCAGGAACTCTTCAGGAAGGAGCTCAGCCTACATTTACAGCTTAAAAGGAGCTGATAACCGCTATGAAAATGGCACAAGAAATCCTCATTGCTTCACAGCGCCCTTCCTTCCACAGTACTGTGTGGCCAAGAAGTACACTTCTGATGATTCTTTCCTGCTGGCTTCCGGTTTGATGATCCTTACGCTCTGGAATTCCTCTGTCAGTCTCCTCTGTAACTGACGGCTTTGACTGCCAGCCCATGTTTTACAAAGGAATGTTCCCCCAGGGTGGAGGATGTCTGGGGTCATGCCCAGAAGGGACAGGCACAGGCTGATGAGCCTGTCGTGATCGAGGTCCCGGACCCCTGTGGCATTGGGCGCCATGTCGCTCAGAATCACATCTGCTCTCCCGCCAGGAAGCAGCTCTAGGATTCTCTGTGAGGTTCTTGGGTCAGTCACATCAGCAGGACACAGAAAAGTTGCTCCTTCCAGGGGGAATATGTGAAGAAGATCCACCCCAAGCACGAAGCCAACAGGAGAGCTGAGATCTAAGGAAGAAATGGTGAATGTGTTACCTATTTATACTCTGAATCTTTTCACAAAAATACAGTACGTGCAACAAAGTGATGAAATAAAAATAAAATGTCGGCCAAGGCAAAGAGCTAATGTGCAAATAAATGAACACAGCCCTTCTCTCACTATCTATACATCCCATAAAGACACAGTGGGGGAGGTAGGGCTGTTCTTAACATCTGAGAAGCTGAGACCTAGACAGGAAGTGACTATCCTAGAGTCAGCATCAGTGATGGGCAGACCTGTGCCAGATGCTAGGACTTCTAATTCCAAATCTGCTATTATTTCAGTACCCAGGGCTCACTCTCTACGAAAGGGTTCTTATCGCTGAGTGGTCTTTTTTATAAACTAAAATGGAAAATAGACCAGGTGTAGTGGCTCACACCTGTAATCCCAGCACTTTGGGATGCTGAGGTGGGCAGATCACCTGAGGTTAGGAGTTCGAGACCAGCCTGGCCAACATGGTGAAACCCTGTCTCCACTAAAAATATAAAAATTAGTCATGCTTGGTGGCACGTGCCTATAGTCCCAGCTACTCGGGAGGCTGAGGCAGGAGAATCGCTGGAACCCAGGAGGTGGAGGTTGCAGTTAGTCAAGATTGGGCCACTGCAATCCAGCTTGGGTGACAGAGAAAGACTCCATCTCAAAAAAAAAAGAAAAGAAAATAATATACTAGTACATAAAGTGCCTCTGGATTAAATCAATAAATCCATTATCCAGCTTAATCCAATTGCTTTCAATGTAGAAACTAATGGAAACAAGATGGGGAAAATGAACAGATACAAAATAACGTACAAAAGCTGATATTGGCTGGGTGCAGTGGTTTGCACTAATAAATCCCGGCACTTTTTGAGGCTGAGGTGAAAGGACTGCTTGAGCCCAGGAGTTCCAGTCCAGCCTTGGCAACATAGTGACATCCTGTCTCTACAAAAAAAACATAAAAATTAGCTGGGTCTGGTGCCCTGTGCCTATAGTCTCAGCTACTCGGGAGATCCAGCTAAAATGAGGCATGAGATGTCCCATTTTCCTGGGCTGAAGATTGAGGGTTTTCACCTTTGAAAAATGAGGTGCTCTTCAAAATACCTGGACTTCTAATGTTTAAGCCAGGAATGAAACACAAAGCCTTCCTCTCCCCCATCATTGGAACAGCCTTTCTGTTAAGCAGACTGAACAAGAAAATCTGTAACTGTGCCCTTAGCTTATCAACTCTGACGTTTCTCAACAGAACCACGCCCCTCCTCAGTGGAGGGGACTGGAGAGATGGGGACACTGAGCTTGTGAAGAGGGGCTTTGAATGTAGGTACAGAGGGAGAAGGAGGGAGGTAGACACTGAGATCAGTTACGGGCAACAAGACTTGTTTTAGGTAGGCGAAGCAACGGCATCTTTTTAGTTTTATAATGGGTATTACCAAAATATCAGCAAGTTGGCCAGGCATGGTGGCTCATGCCTGTAATCCCAGCACTTTGGGAGCCTGAGGTGGGCAGATCACGAGGTCAGGAGTTCAAGACCAGCCTGGCCAAGATGGTGTAACCCCGTCTCTACTAAAAATACAAAAAAAAAAAAAATTAGCTGGGCAAGGTGGCACGGGCCTATAACCCCAGCTACTCAGGAGGCTGAGGCAGAGAACTGCTTGAACCTGTGAGGCAGAGGTTGCAGTGAGCTGAAATCATGGCACTGCACTCCAGCGTGGACACGAGAGTGAGACTCTGTCTCAAAAAACAAACAAACAAACAAATATCAGCTTTGCGTGCGTGTGAGATAGGGTCTCACTACACTGCCTGGCCTCAGCTCACTGCTGCCTCAACTTCCCCAGGGTCAAGCGACCCATCCCACCTCAGCCTCCCAAGTAACTGGGACCACAGGCACATGCCACCACATCTGGCTAATTTTTTTGGCATTTTTTGTAGAGAGGGTTTCACCATGTTGTCCAGGCTGGTCTCGAACTCCTGATCTCAGGTGATTCTCCCACCTCAGCCTCCAAAAGTGCTGGGATTACAGGCATGAGCCACCGCACCTGGCCTCATCCCTCACTTTATGCTCCGGAGCTTTTGCTCCTGTAACATCCCACATGTTACAACCTTGGGAAGGTTCCATCGAAGGCGGCTTTGGCCACATGCTTGTGACTTCTGGGAGGAAAAGAACAGGCAGATCACCCCACGCGCTCTGCTTCTGTCACTTCCTCCTACAAGGCAAATTTTTTTGCTTCATCTTAAGAGCACTTAGGGGAAGAGAAACTACGGAAATCAGTTACTCAGAGAACTCCACAGTGATAAGCTCAGCAATAAGAAAAGGAACTGACATTTCCAACACAAATTCACTCATTTAGACAATAATTGTTGAGCTAAAAAAACAACAAAAAGGCTGTACAGGACAAGCACGGTGGCTCACGCCTGTAATCCCAGCACCTTGGGAGGCTGAGGTGGGCGGATCACTTGAGGTCAGGAGTTCGAGACCAGCCTTGCCAAAATGACAAAACCCTGTCTCTACTAAAAATAGAAAAATTAGCTGGAGATCAATTGAACTCAGGAGATGGAGACTGCAGTGAGCCAAGATCACGCCATTGCACTCCAGCCTGGACAATAGAGTGAGACTGTATCCCGAAAAAAGAAAAAAGAAGAGGGAGGCACTGTTCAAAACCCCAAAAAGGCATATCCTGGCCTAAGTATGGACAGGGACCACCCAGGAGATGCAGGTAGACACCAAGCGTTCATGGCAAACCTATAGCAAACCAGCAGTGAGGCTTACTTGCAGATCCAGGGGGCCAGCATTCCAGGTCTGCACTGTCAACAAATCACAAAACTCTTGAGCCTCAGTTTTCTCACCAATAAACGGGTACCAGTATCCCTACTGTAGGGAATCTGGGAATGCTCTGGGTGGACTGTCTTACCCTGTTCAAATGCCAGTGCATGTAGGTACCCTGGCTTGACAGCAGGAAACATCAATGGCAAGGATATTCACCACAGCACACGCATCCCAGCAAAAAGCCACAAGCAACCTTGATGCCCACGGTGAGGGAACTGGTAAAGAACCTAATGTACAAGCATATCATGGAACAGGATGTAACTGTTCCCAATGATGACAGTTTCTTAAGTTGTATGGGTGGCTGGCTGATCTCATTTTTCAGGCGAATCTTTTTATATAGAAAATCTTACTCAAAACTCTAAGATATAAACAGATGAAAACTGTGTCTCAGCTTCACCCAGAGTGGAGAATCCATAGCCCTGGCCACAAAGCCTCTTCTAGGCTCCAGAGGCAGCAGCCCCAGTGGGGTCACCAGGAAGCCCTAAGGCTTACAGGACTTGGAAAGCTCTGGAGTCGATTCAGCTGTGCTGTTGGGGAGAGAGGTCAGTATATCATTAAAAGCAGCCAGGCACAGTGGCTCACACCTGGAATCCCAGCACTTTGGGAGGCCGAGGTAGGCAGATTGCCTGAGGTCAGGAGCTCGAGACCAGCCTGGCCAATATGATGAAACCTCATCTCGACTAAAAAAAAAAAAAATTAGCTGGCTGTGGTGGCAGGTGCCTGCAATCCCAAGTACTCTGGAGGCTGAGGCAGGAGAATCATTTGAACCCGGGATGCAGAGGTTGCAGTGAGGTGAGACCATGCCACGGCATCCAGCCTCAGCAACAGAGCGAGACTCCATCTTGGGGAAGGGGAACAAATATATGTGTGTGTGTGTGTGTGTGTGTGTGTGTGTATTATTAAGCAAAAATAGCTCCAGTAAGGCTGAAAATTATCAAGAAGAGTATGGCCCGACATTGCTTTTGAACACGTGAGGGATCTATGCAAACACAGGCCTGGAAGGACACACACCACCGTGCTGGAGCCATTACCTCCAGGAGGTATCATGCGAGGTCATCTCCATTTTCACTGCACCTTTCTACCTTGTCTTTCAGTTTGAAAATGGCAGGATCCTGTTTTTATCATTACCATTACTAAACCACCAACTCGGAAGTGGGTGCTTTCAGAAAAGGGCTCAACCATCCCACATCCACTGGCAGAGGCAGCTTGCCTGTGCCCACTCAGCCTCAGGGTAGCCAGAAGGTACAAACAGCCGTGCAGAGCTCCCACCTGTACCTGCGGCATTGACCTTCCGCACTGCCACCTGACTCCAGGCCCCAGGAGCTGCCCCACAGTCTAACACCCGAAGGCCAGGCCGCAGAATCTGGTGCCTCTCATTCATCTCCAGGAGCTTGAAGGCGCTTCGACACCGATAACTCTCCACCTTCGCAGCCTTCACAAATGGATCCCTAAGATGCCGAGCCAGCCACAGGTGCTCAGCACCTGTCCGATTCTTGCAGTGACTCCTGGCAGTGTGGAACCCTTTAGGCTGAAAGGAAGCACACACCAGCTTCAAGAACCTGGGAGGAGAGAAGAGGAGCAGGCAGGTTGGCATCACACAGATCAGCAGGTCATGAGCTGGGAGGGCCCTCGGTTCAACTCATTCATTTCTAGAGATGAGGCACCAAGACCCAGGAGGGGAGGTGAACTGACAAAGCAATACAGTCAGAAAGCAGGCATTGCAGGCCGAACTGTGTCCCCACAAAATTGATGTATTGATGTACTAACCCTCAGTACTTTAGAATATAAGTGTATTCGGAGACAGGGCCCTTAAAGAGATGACCAAGTTAAAACAAGGTCATATTGGTAGGCCCTATTCCAATAGGACTAATGTCTTTATAAAAACAGATTAGGGGCCAGGCATGGTGGCTCACGCCTATAATCCCAGCACTTAGGGAGTCCAAGGCAGGTCTTGGATCATCTGAGGTCAGGAGTTCGAGACCAGCCTGGCCAACATGGTGAAATCTTGTCTCGGCTAAAATTAAAAAATTACAGGCATGGTGGCGGGCGCCTGTAATCCCAGCTACTCGGGAGGCTGAGGCAAGGGAATCGCCTGAAACCGGAAGTCAGAGGTTGCAGCGAGCCGAGATTGTGTCACTGCACTTCAGCCTAGGCAACAGAGCGAGGCTCTGTCTCAAAAAATAAACTAATTAATTAAAGTAATATATTCTTTTCTCATCTGGCAAAAAACATTCATTGGGCTGTGAGAGACTGCAAGAAAACCTCCTAAGGACAGGTCCTTGCCTGAGTAACCTAGTTCCAGGGCTTTGGCAGCTGGCACAGAGGATGTGGCCTGTCACATTTCTTTTTTTTTTTTTTTTT